GGGCGGCGGTAGCGCTAAGAAGGAGGAGAAGGGCAAGAACATCCAGGTGGTGGTGCGGTGCAGGTAAGGCGCGGCGGGCTTCCCTGGGCGAACGTTGGAGGTGGGCCCGCGGGGAGCCGGTGAGGTCCCTCTGGGGCTTGGGTCGGAAAGGTTTGCCGCCGGCCCGTGACAGGGGGCTGACGGGGCGGCGAGCAGCCCGCGGCTCTCCGAGCGTGTCGTTGTTAAAGAGCCAGCCGTGACATCCAGACGGCCCTCGGTACCGCGCTTTGGAACGCCTGTCCGAGGCGTGAATTGTACGCGGTGTGGCGGACCCCTGTCGCCAGCGGAGGGGATCGGCGCTGCCGCAAGATTGACGCTGCTGTGAATAATCTCTTGCATCTTAAAAAGGCAAAACGTTGCAATTCCCTAACTTCATTCAGCGCACACCCAGTATGAAGCTGTGTAGGAAAGTTAAGAAGAGCTAGATGAGAGTTAGTATGACTGCTATTTAAGCCGCTACGATTTAAATAGCTAATAAAACTTTTGCTACAGCTGCTTTTGTCAAACTTCAGTGATACAGGCTCTTCGAATTCGGACAAAAAGCTATGGGGGTCACCTTCTTAAGTAATAACGACCGGCTACCTTGGTCGATGAGATTAATTTATTTTTTTGTATGATATGACAAATTTCATGTACCTTAAAGTTAGGTTCTCTTTGTAATTTTGAGGTGACTTTAAAGACTTGCTCACTGATACTGGATCTTAAATGTTCTTAAAGCGTTGCTTGTTAAAACTATAATACTGTTAAAAATAGTGTTCAAAATACCTTTGGAAGTGGTTTTTTTCTGAGCCAGAACTGCAAATGCTAGATTACATATTATTGTTATTAATGCCTTTTGCAATCATTATATCGTCATGCTTGGAAGTGTGCATTTACAGATGCACAATGAAAAAGAAATTAAAAGCCATTTTCTCTTATTTTTGCAACACAACTGAAGAGCTGATGAAACAAATGTTATCAGATTGTTGAAAATGCTGATGGAAATCAAGGTTATTGCAAAAGAAGAATAACTATCGAAGCAATTGAGTTAGAAACACTGTCAAGAACAATAATTTTCTTTTTCATCTGATTAGTCTCAATTGTTCTGTAATAGCATCACTAAGTATTAGTGTATATTTTAATTAAATACAATGCTCAATATGACAGTAGCATCAGGATAGACCATGGTGTAGTGCTTTGCTTTTATTGCAACTCATAGATTAAGTCCTATGTCAAGATTTAGTCTCTGAACACTAAACATTTTCTAGGTCACCCTTGTTCCTGCCTCTTGTATAGATTTTCTTTTTTAGTATAGAGCTTCAGTGTGTTTGAGCTAGTAAATGTTCCTTCCACCTTTTGTTTTTCTTCTGCATCAGTCAGGTTCTACTTACCTTACAGATAGGTAGATAGATGCAATTGTATTTTGATTCCAAAACCTGATGTGTCTGAGTTCAAACAACGCATTCACCATGCTTTGGTGAATCGTGGCTTTGGAAACTCAAAACGCATATATTAGCATTTTTAATATGCATATTAATATGCTTTATATCTGAGGGGATGAGCCTGTGATCAAATGACACCATGGCATACCAGGTTGCTTGTCTGGTGACAATGGTCTGCATGTATGCTCCAGCCTGGCTGAATTGTTCTTCTACTCTCACAGTTGTGGGCTATTATACTGTAAGACTCCTGCATTTGACTGGTTCACTGTTAATATCATTACAGAGCAGAACATATTCATTGTTCAGCCTCCTACTATTTCAAAAGTCACAAAACTGAAGCTGTAACTTGCCCCTGTGAACAAGATTTTAGTCATCATACGTTGTCACCACTCAGTCTTGCACCAAAGTGTTTCGTGGTCTCATTGGAATCTAACACTTCAGCCTCAGTGCTATATTGAGGAAGAAATGTTAGCCACAAGAGTCAGGAAACTCGAGATGCCATGCGCTTGTGATGTTGGTTTTTTTTTTATTATAATTTAAAGAGACAGCATCTGAAGTGCCTCTAATCTCAAAATATTTTAAATATTGCTAAGATTGTAGTTCTATTTTCAAGTTGACCATCCAGGTCAACTATACAGGCAGCATACACATTCAGTGCAGTAGCACTACTAAATGAGTAATAAAATAGCATTCCATGCTTTAGGTTTTCAATCCGTGGTAATTTCTGTGCTTTTTGGGAGAAATTGTTGCAAATGCTCCTTCAAGGAAAATTGTGTGCACCAGGTTTAAATTAACTTTGTGATGAAACAAAACACTCGCTGTCAAACTTTTATTACACCTCTATTAAACTTTACTTAAAACTCAAAGTAAGAGGTATGTGGACTTTTTCCCCCCCCAATCTAATCTGATGTCTGTCTTACTAAATTCTGTTCACAAATTCTATTCAAATGCGTTAACATTATAAAGGTTCTGGTGTTGCTGTCTACTGTTCTGCTACTAGTAGGGTCTACTAGTATTTCTGGTGCTTTGGAGTGTTCTGCCGTCAGTGCGAGATGTAGGCTTTGTTGCTTGTGTAAATAAAAAAGGAAATTTTTAAAGTTAATTTGTTTGATTCACTATTGCCTTTCATGTGTAAGTTTTTCCTTTTTTTGAAGGCTCTTATTTATGCAACTATTGGGTATGTTTAATCTTCCAACCCCCTGCAATTGAACAATGCAAGTTAGCTGTGTGCATATCTAAATTATCTTAAAAGTGTTTATCAACTTTTTTTAAAAAAAATGTATGTAAACAAACTAAAAGCTGTAGATACTTGATTTCTCCCACAGTGGGCGGAAGGAGAAACAAGGTCTGGAAACTGCCAAATTGCAAGTTTTTCCTTAAAAAATTAAACAAATTAAGAGTTGTGTTCCTTTTGCCTAGTTATACTATTCTGGATCCTTAAACTGAGTGATAGTGCTGCTTTGTCAGTTTATGTTCTTGTTAGCAATGATATCAACCTGATATTCTTAACTCCTGTCTTTTTAGGCCTTTTAATGCTTCAGAACGTAAAGCAAGCTCCTATGCTGTTGTAGACTGTGATCAAGCAAGAAAGGAAGTTAGTGTCCGCACTGGAGGAGTGACAGATAAGACATCAAGAAAGACTTACACATTTGATATGGTAATTGCTGGTTAAGTGGGGTACTGCTAGAAACTACCTAGTACATGTCTCTAATGTGGTCTGATTACTGTACTGTGTGATGCTGTACATTACTGTATGGATAAATGGGATGTATTGTCTTTGCCTCAACAGGTTTTTGGAGCTCAGGCAAAGCAAATTGATGTATACCGGAGTGTGGTGTGTCCCATTTTGGATGAAGTTATTATGGGCTACAACTGTACAGTGTTTGCGTAAGTAAGCCAATAATTATTTTACAGGAAACTTTATTTGAATTTTAGTTTCTTGTTTACAATTTAATTTTTTGTTCTCACAGTTATGGCCAAACTGGTACTGGTAAGACCTTCACAATGGAAGGGGAGCGGTCACCCAATGAGGAATATACTTGGGAAGAGGTATATTTTCACTCCTGAGATTTCTCTTGTCTACTGTAGTTCAAAGTTAGAAATTGCAGAAGGCTAAAGGAAACCTGAAGTTGATGCCTTTCAAATCCTGAAGATGACTTTCTTTAAATGTTTTAAACTAACAAATGGCCTCATTCAGTTATGTAAAAATCAAAACTTTACATCTTTAATGCAAGCATACATGTCTTGGCGATCTTTATGTGGAAGATGATCTTTGTCCGAGGTACTCTTGCTTATATCAACTCAGACTATTTAGCTGAAATTCCACCCTTCCACCCCCAAATCTTTTCAGTACATTTATGTATTAAATACTTCACTTTAATTTATAGGATCCACTAGCAGGTATAATACCCCGTACGTTGCATCAAATATTTGAAAAACTCACAGAGAATGGTACCGAATTTTCAGTGAAAGTCTCTCTTTTGGAAATCTATAATGAGGAGCTTTTTGATCTTCTGAATACTACTCCTGATGTTGGAGAAAGACTGCAGATGTTTGATGACCCTCGAAACAAGGTTAGTGCTGTCTTCCAAAATTTGTTATCTTAAGGCTTTTCAGGACTGTTGAGAGATGTATAATAAGCATGCATTATTTTCTGACAGAGGGGTGTAATTATTAAAGGATTGGAAGAAGTAACTGTACACAACAAAAATGAAGTCTACCAAATCCTGGAAAGGGGTGCAGCAAAAAGAACAACTGCAGCTACTTATATGAATGCATATTCCAGGTACAAATCTTTCCCGTTTCAGAAACTTTGTTTTGTTCTTGTTTTATTAAACAGAATCTTACCAAAGAAGTAAAAGATGTTGAAGCTAGTGCAAACCTGTTGTGATCTTGAGATTATGTATCACGCTTCAGATGGCCAAATGGGGATTAGAAAGCCATAGTTAGAACTTCACATCCTGTGGGGTGATTCTAATAGGTGTATGACTGTACTTGTATTAGACAGGTCAGTTGTCTTTGTTCTAGCTGTTACGGATGATTGTGGGTGTTTTGCCAATCCTGTTTACTAAATAAATTGGTGTAACAGTCTCAAGTATCCTTTCCTCTCTTCACCAGCAGTAGAAAATGATATATTAGGATTTGTTACTGAAGTTGGAATTTCAAAATACTGCTGAGATCTGCTTTTTACAGGTCAACACAAGTCCCTCTTTTGAAACCTCAGCTTCTGAAAACTTGCAAACTGGATTGTGGAAGCTGGGGATAAGATTGAGGGCACTTTTTTGTTTGGCCATGCAGGCTACTTCATATGACTGCAACTTGTAGTCAGAATGTAGTGGAGACACCTTAGTCAAAAATGTCATTGTTCATTACTGATTTCTCGCTCTTGAACTGCAAATGTAGTATCATATGTCAGTGTGAACAAGTAGTGATCCAGTGTTGCAATAAGCAAGGAACACCCTCCCTGTATCATATTTGAAAGATATAACGAGCACATCTGTCTACTGGTGCAAGGAAATGGGTATTTGGCTACCACAGATTAGAACACAGAACTAATTTTATCTGACACTACAGGGAATTTAGAGAATTCATCCTGCCTGAGCTGTTGTTTTATATATGGTCTAACTGGTGTAATTTGCCTATGGTTTTCTATATATGTCAGCTTCCAATTGTAAAAATTTATTAAAGGAATAAGCTCAAGCTAAAATCATCTTAAAATGTACTACTATTTTGAATGAAAACTGAATTGAACTTCTAAATTTTTAATACTGGATTCATCTACTTGCTGATTTTCTTAGCCTGAATAACTAATTTCTTAATCTCATGTTCTGTAAAAATGTTCTTAGTGTATTGACTGAAAAAAAAACTTAAAGCCAGTTTTCTTGATGTATTTGTGAGTTGAGAATGCACAAATGTAAACAAAACCAAAGTGTTTTTCTTGGTTTTGCTTGAGATAAGATAAAATTTACCAGGATTGAATGAGGCAAGCATCATCCAGTTGCTTCATCACTGGTTTTAAGCACAGGGTTCATATGTATGCACACAAAATATAGTTGGTAGAATAGCTTTGTGTATTGAAAATGTGTAAGTTCCAAATGTATTCCCTAAAAAGAGCAGAGATTCCTAACTTGGAGCAGTGACATGTAGCAAGCAGATCATTTGGCTTTAATGGGATGTCTATCTGAAACTGAATTCTTTTACAGCCGTTCCCACTCTGTGTTTTCGATTACCATCCATATGAAAGAAACGACGGTAGAGGGGGAAGAACTTGTTAAAATTGGGAAGCTAAACTTGGTAAGTATTTGAACTAATTGTCATCGATGACATTCTTTAATGAACTAGAGTAATCTGACCTCATTCTCTTGAGAATCTAAGGTGTTTTTTTTCCCCCTACAAGGAGGGGGGGATAATTGTTTTTCATAAAATGACTTGAACTGTATTTGTCACTCTGAGAAACGTGAGTCCCATTTGTCACCCCAGTGTCTCCTTAACAACTCATAAGCTGGTTCATGTGTGTTGTGTTCTGCAACGCTATGGGGCAAGCGTTCTTCAGGGTGATTTGAGACAGAACCATGTCTTTCTTGTCTTTCAGGTTGATCTTGCAGGAAGTGAAAACATTGGTCGTTCAGGGGCAGTTGACAAAAGAGCTCGTGAAGCTGGAAATATCAACCAGTCTCTCCTGACACTAGGAAGGGTTATTACTGCTCTAGTAGAAAGAGCCCCACATATTCCATACAGGGAATCTAAACTCACAAGAATCCTTCAAGACTCTCTTGGAGGACGAACCAAAACATCTATAATTGCCACAGTTTCTCCTGCATCTGTAAATCTTGAGGTAAATTTAAGTCTGAAAATCTATTCCTAAAATAGCTATTATATTTTGCTAATGATACAAAAATGAGTTAACTCCTCAGCTTGACCTAGTGTTACATCCATTTTTTCACAGGAAACATTGAGTACACTGGAGTACGCCCACAGAGCAAAGAACATAATGAACAAGCCTGAAGTTAATCAGAAGCTAACAAAAAAAGCTCTTATTAAGGTAAGCTAGATGTATGTCTTAACAAATTAAGTTACAGGTTAGGTTTCATTGTGTTAAAATAGTTTTTGCAATGCAGGAGTTACAAAGTTGTGGAGAAGCTATAACTAAAGCGGTGCTTTTCTGAGGTGATTTTAGTCACTGAACTGATGCTTTCAAACTAAACTGCTCTAGTGGTACAGTGATAGTCACTTTGCAGATACTGAAGCTGTTGCTGAAAGACTAAAGCTGCATAGAGCAGACTATTGCTACTACCTATGATTCTGTGTATGGATTACCTGTTTACAAGTTAGTGGAGAACCACTAAATGACACTGGATTTTGGTGGGGTTTTTTGTGGACTTGCTGCATTAGCAGCTTCATTCCCTAGGAAGTGTCTGAATTAAAGTAAACTTGTCACTAAGTATGAGCGAAGAGATAAAATAAAGTAGCTGACTGCTACTAAAGAAGCTGCAATTCCCATTGTAAGCTGCTATGTGCAGTCAAGTAGGATTCAAATGGGAGGTTCCAATGCTCTACGTTTATCCAATGGTATGAATTTAAATGGTGCTATACTGAACTTATTTGGAAAAATAAGTGAAGTGCTTTGCTCCCGTGCTTATGCAAAACTTCCATAGAACACTATCTTTATGAAGTATCTGAAGCTAAATCTTGAAAGTAAAGTAGAAATTTTCAGGTTTATGTGTATTTCTTTATGCAGGAATATACTGAAGAGATTGAACGTCTGAAGCGAGACCTTGCTGCTGCACGAGAAAAAAATGGAGTCTATATTTCCCTTGAAAATTATGAGTATGTCTTCAGAATTTCTATAAAATGGCTTCTTCTTTAGAAATTAATTATTACACAGATAGAAGCCTAAAGAGTAGGTTTGCACTGAGGCTTTTGTGTTTATGTGGGATTTACCATAAGCATGGCTGGGATGCAGATTTATACCACGCAGCCTTTCTTTCAATGGAAGCTCATATAGGAGAGCAAACTTAGGTATAGTTTGCTTCCCTTTGTAAGACGGCTAGTTTACACAGAAAGTTTACAATGGAAAATAGTCTTATCCTTTCTGTGTTAAGTGAAAGTTACCTGCTTTTCGTACAAAAGTTACCAATGCTTATTTTTGGAAATTACTAATTCTGTGATATAAAAAACAATAGATAATCCTGAAATCAGGTCTTACTTGACTAATTTGTTTGTTTTAATCCTTGCTTGAGAGCCCTTAATGGGAAGTTGACAGTTCAGGAAGAACAAATTGCGGAGTATATTGACAAAATCGGTGTCATGGAGGAAGAAGTGAAAAGAGTAAGTGACGTTTCTAAACTGTGGCTTAAATCTGCCAAAAAATGAAAAATCTTTGGGGAAGGAGGAAAAAAGTTTGGGCAAAGAACAGTCTGAAGAGTTTTTGTTCTTAAAGTTCCCTAATTAGTCAAGAGTGGAAGCTTCCTAATACTTGAAGTTAGGAAGTTGAAATATCATATATGAAGTTGCAAGATGCAATGTTTATTTTTTAAAGCTGTTCTAATGTCTAGCACTTTACCTTTAATTTGCTTTTCTGGGTTTTCAGAAAAAACATGCTTGTAAAATAGCATCATCTTAGTTGACAGGTATCTGCTTAGGAGCAAAGAATGAAGGGAGAGAGGAGACGGTGATGAGCTCCCATTAACAAAGTACACAGAAAATGCGAGCTTCCTTTTTAAAAGAAATGCAGATATTACTTTGCTGGAATGTGTAACTACTCTGTTTAATCAGCTTTACTGACTTCTTCATCCTATCTGCTTAGGTTTTCTTAGTGTGGTTTTGTTTCTTGTGCTGTAACGGTTGTTTGGCTTTGTGGTTTGAGTAGGGGAGCAAGGTATTATTACAGTGAAAATGGTGTTGGTTTGTGATATTTTCAGTGAATACAGAGATTACACAAATCTATAGTCTAGGTTTAAGACCTCTGAGCCTTGCAAGTGAAACTACAATGGTAGATGACAACTTGCCTTCTGGTATTGTGACATAATTTGAGAGAAGTAAAGCGGGACTGTTGAACTTATAAAAAGCAGTGTTGCCCTATTGATGTTTGTCTTCCGCTTCAGATCACTGAACTATTCACAGTTAGTAAAAATGAACTGGAACAGTGTAAAACAGATCTGCAAATCAAGGAGAAAGAACTGGAAGAAACACAAAAAGATCTGCAAGAAACCAAGGTTCATCTGGCTGAAGAAGAATATGTGGTTTCAGTTTTGGAAAACACTGAACAAAAACTTCACAGCACAGCTAGCAAGGTTGTCACAGTTCTTGCATCTAACTGTAACAGTAGCTTCCCGCGTTTAGGAGTTTCATGGGCTGTTCAAGGAAATTGTTGCTAAAGCATGGAGTGTGACAAAACCTGAATTTAAGATGGAAAACTAGGATTAGCTCTCCATAAATTATATTATGATGAAAAGCTACTAAAGATTGCGGGACTTTCTCTGTGGTAATACTGGCAGTTGAATGCTAAACATGCTGGTTGGTCTGGAGCTACCTTTCCTTCAGGCCAGCTTGTGACAAGAGTTCCAGTGCTTTGCAGTATCTATTGTCATGATTTGTTTTGCTGAATGAGTAGTTTTCTTTACTAGAAACTTATGGCTGACCCTACAAAAGAGCAAGTTATATCTATAACTGGGGTAGAAAAACAGGAAAAACTTTGCAGATATATGTGCAGTAATTTACACTCGCTGAGTGAATAATGAAAACTGTTGCCCTGTCACCTCTATATTTTAAAGTACAGTTTTGATATGTTTGTAGATTGGTTATAATTACCAAAACTGACTTGATGTGGGGAGGGAGAGTGTCCTGCTAACTAGTACTGGAACCCTCTTGCTTGAGGACTATTAAAGAATATATTTACTGTCAAATCTTTCAGAAAAAGTTGAAGTGGTCAGGAATTTTTTTGTTAGTATTCTGTGATAAATGATATCTTAATTCCTTAAATACTGAGGATGTCCTTTATTAATGCTTTAATTTCAAAGTCAGAAGGAATCATCTCTAGTAGGTAACTTTTTCCTGTGTTCTAAGACTATAAATGACATACCAGGATTAAGAACAGGTATAATTTGATGATACCTGTCTTTCTAGGGACATAACTTCTCTGTTAACTCAGAACTGCAGTTGCTTTTCCTTATAGAATGTATGCTTGACTTATTGTTTAAAGACTGACTAAAATAACTTTAAAAAAATTATAGTTACTTAGTACAGTTGAAGAAACTACAAAAGATGTATCTGGTCTGCATGCGAAACTGGATCGTAAGAAGGCTGTTGATCAACACAATGCTATCATCCAAAATACATTTGCAGGACAAATGAATGTTTTGTTCAATAAAACACCAGATTCAGTTAGCGAAAACAGTTTGAAGCAGCAACAGATGTTGACATCTTACACAAATTTTATAGGTAAGTGTAATATTTACATCAGTATGTTATCCTGAATTTGTGCAACCGTGGTTCCAAAGACTGTTTCCTAAAACAGATCTGTTGTAGTAAGTGGAAGAGGCTTTATTTTAAGCAATATGTAATGATTACAGTTGCACCAGTAATAAGGTATCTGGGGTGATCAACAGCTTTCTTGTGCTGTAAGAGGCAATAAGGCAATAAGCAATAAAAAGAGTTCCTATCTTACAGTGGAACTTTTTTTAAAAAAAAAAAAATTTGTAACACTTCTTGATTTCTTTTGTAGGTGAACTTCTGTCTACCAGTTCTTCTGCAGCTAATATTCTTGCATCAGTTGTATCAGCATCTTTCGCCTCTGTTAAAGAATTGGTGTCTACTGAAGTTTCTCACCTGTCTGAAAAAATAACACAACATGAGAATCTATCACTTGATTGTAAAGCTGAGCTGCTGAGACTAATTGTTAGTAAATTCATATACTCTTATGTTACTTAAAATATGAAACTATTCTTGATCAAAAGGGGTTCTGTAAATATTGTGTAGGGGTTTTTTTTCTGATGTTCTCTACCTGTCTGTGCTTCAGCACTTGACCATGATTATGTCCCTCCCTACTTCCCCTCCCATGTCACCTCTACAAGCTGTCATGTACTATATAGGAAATACTGCAATAGCAGAGTACATGGGTATGTATATGGATAGCTTTTTACAAATGTAGATGAAGGAACAATCATATCCTGTTTTACTTTTTCTTTTTTTTACCACTGTTCATAGGAGGAACATACATCTGGATTAGGAAGAGCATTAAATAGCTTGACACCAATGGTAGAATTTGTCTTGGGGCTAAACAGTCAGTTTCAGATTAACATGAAGAAATATTCTGCTGTGACTGACAAGGTAATGCACATAACTTGTCTCTTACCTTGTGCTCTTCTATTTTATTTAATTTACAGGTAACCCTTAGGTGATTTTTCTGCAGTGTCAGAGAGTTTCCACTTCTGGTCTGTCCTTTTCTCCTTTATTCTGTCCCATGAGTTCTACCTTTAAGCTGTTTCTTTCAGACTTCTTTTCCACTTCTGTATGTGGTGTGTATGCTTGTTACCTATATTGGTACAACTGCTCACCTAAATGCCAAAGAAGAATGGTAAACCATGGATGCTTAAAGCTATAGGTAACAAATATTTGATAAGATCCTTAATACAGTCTCTCCTGTATTTTAGAAATCTAAAATAACCAACTTAGAGGAGTCTTATCAATCCCAATTTCTCCTGCTGTCATACCAAACTTTCTCCATAGTCACTTTGGTTCCGGGGGAATGCGATGCTGTATCTTGTTAACAATAGCCATAAGTGCAGACAACACTGCGCTTATTAAAAAAAAAAAAAGTCCTATGCTTTAGTTCTAGTCTGTCTCATGATTTTTATGTAGAACTGCAGCCTTACTCTTTCATTCCTTTTTTTGCATTTTATCAAAAAATAAAATCTTTGTTCCTGGTTACCTGATGCTCTGACTGAAAAATTTCTCCCTTCTGTCAATTACGACTCATGTGACATCAACTCCTCTTGTCTAGAGGCTTTTTATTGGCTTTCAGGCTTGAAACAAATAGTCCATGGCTTATCAGCTCTTGCTTGTTGTTCTTCTCTTAACCAAGTACCATGTTTGTGTCTTCCTATTTTGTCTACCTCACATGCCAAATTTTGTCTTTGGAAAAATGCACACCAAGTTCTGCTCTGTAATTGCAGATTGCTCCAAGTGTTATTTTCCACCTTTTATGCACAATACTTTATTAGTGTCTTTGACAATTTCCTTGGGGTACAGTTTGTTTCTATATGAATCGTGCTAGGGAAAAGTATCCAGTTCTTACCTAAAGACAAATATCTCACTTTAAATAAAACTTTTTTCAAAGATGGAGGGTCATAAAAAGGAAATGGATACCTTCTTCGGAGATCTTTCTCTCACTCTGAAAAAATTACATGAAGAAACGGCCAGTGTTTTTGCTCAGCTTCAGAATGATTGTGAGAATTTGAAAGAAGAAGTGGAAATGTCGAGGTTGGCACATACAAAGGTATCCTTAGAGTAAGAAGAAATCCTAACACCGAGTGTGATTGGTTGCTTTGATTTAAACTTTTTGTAGCAGTAAACTGTTGTACTTGCTTCAGAAGAAATGTTAGGACAGTAACTTGATGATCCTTATTCTTTTCAGCCTTTGTTGGGCTGCTTTAAGAAGCTTATGTAGGAAGGTAACAAAAAAATTTACCCTTGCTCAGAGTATGTCCAGTATATCTGCCTTTACGTATATCTCTGAAAGCAAAGTGTCTATATTTTCTCTACGCAAAAATTGTACTTTCAGATTTAGAATGACAAAGCTCTTTTATTTGCTGCATTTTTTAAAAAAAAAAGCATTCAAGTACCCTTTAAGAATCTTAAAGATCAGAATAACTGAAATGCATGACATTTTTCTTTATAGAGTGCAGCTGAATTAATGTCCTCGCTGCAAAGCCAGCTTGACCTGTTTGCTCAGCAGACTCAGAAGAACTTAAGTAATGTACTCGCAAAAAATGGAAGCTTGAAGACAAGCATCGCTGCTGTGCAAGAAAATGTTCACTTGTAAGGAGCAGATTAATTTTGGTGTATAGTGATGCAAGATAAACCTATGTATGAAGAGGACTGCAAAATAGATGCTCTTCGTATTTATATGCTTATAAAGTCTTCTGGACAAGACTGTTAAAGCTGGGTTCTGCCACAGAATGTAGATCATAGTTCACCTTTCCTTAGAGTAAAAGGTAGCTCTACAAGGCTTTTCCTCAAACTTGTCTCTTGAGCATATTGCAGATAAGAGACCGTGGTTTTGGGAGCAGTATACTGATGAATAGCCCTTAGTATGGCTGGACTTCAGAACATCGTACCATAAAGGCTTAGCTTGAAGTATAGTAGTGTGTCTATCGCAGCATGCTTCATTCAGTTGCAGACTGAGTAACTAAGGTCTTGCCAAAGTTGTTGGGGTTTAGTTTGTGGGGTTTTGTGGGGTGGGGGTGGTGTTGGATTGGGTTTGGTGGTGGTTTGTTGTTTGGTTGGTTTTGTTGTGTGTTTTTTTTTTTTAAGGGATTTAACAAACCTACTGTTCAAAGTGCTGCAATTCATAAATTTAGTAAATAGAGCCACAACATTATAATTAACTGGTTTGATAGAACCACACTACTTCACTGGTTCTGGTCTCAAATATTTCTAAATGTAGAATGTGTTAAAATCCACCTTTCAAAATCTCTGAGCTGTTACAAATATGTTGTTACAGGAAAACTACAGACCTAGTCAGCAGTGCAACTTCCAATCACAGCAAATTTATTGCATCTCTGGATAACTTCTCTCAAGAGCTCAGGATCATAAATGCTGAAAACAAGGTGATGCTGGAAGAATCCACTGACCACTGTCAAAAGCTTCTCAGCAATCTCAACAACGTGTCTCAGGATACTGATAAATGGGGTGAATTTACAACTGCTCAGATAGTCGACTTTTCCAATCAGCAGCTATTGTCCTTCAATGATGAGAAACAGCAACTTCAGTGTTTACAAAAGGTACCTATAGTCATTTGTAGTCTAATACAATGTTCTGAAATAAACATTTACGGTAGAATTTGTAGGGGAAACAAGTTCTCACTTATAGTAAGAACAATTTTTTTTTTTTTTTAATCACAGCAGACTCATGTTACTCAGCTTAAGTAGATGCAATTAGAGGAAATTAAAAGCTTAATTTAAGAGAAAGACTTTGAACTAAAAGTGCAAATAACCTCAAAAAATGGTGTCTTGATTAATCCCATGTGGTTAACTTCCATGTGTAATTTGGGCTTTTTACATCTTTTTAGTAGTATATATCTCTAATTCTAAAGCTTTGTCTACCAGTAATGTCCCTGGGAGATTTGCATAATGATCAAATACAGACTGTATTCTGGAGGATGCAAATTAATTTATTGGTCAGATGAATTACCGTTATGGGAGAAAGCATTCATTTTGGGTATCTGCTAGTTCTGGTGCCTTATCTGAGATTTTTTTTTTATTTCCATCACAAACTTTACTTCCCACCCTTCTTGTTTTATTGTTCTAATGGATAATGAAATAGGTAAATCCAACATTTTGCCAACTTTCAGAAAAAAAAAAGCTTTTAAAAACACTTGCAGTCTCAAGACACCCTTGTATCTGTTATACCTACTGAACCTTACAGAAGTTTCATTCCAATGGGAATGGCTAAAAGTACATTTTCTTTCTTTATCCCTACAAATAGATAAAGTCTCTAGTGCTTGTAGGATTTTCACTTTCATTTGAATATCCTAATTCTGTGCAGGGTTGTGTATAGAAGCATGAGGAGTCTGATCTGAACCAGATGGCATCATCTTTTTTTCTTATGAGTAGCTTTCTAAAATGATCATACTTTCTAAGAAACTGACTCTCTTCTGAAGATAGTTCTCGAAATGAGAGTGTAAAACTAGCACTGAAACTTCTCAATTTGAGGTCTCAGTTGTTTCGTTTCAGGTCATGTCACTAATCATGCACCACATCTTAGAAAAGAGGCCATAACCTTACCTTTCCTGTTAACTTGATGTTCTTGGTTGTTTTTGTTTTGTTTTCAGAAAAATGAAGAAAACTGTGATAAAGCAATAGCTGAAATTGCTGACCATATTGGTAGACAAAAGGCTGCTGAGGAGAAGGTACTAAATGGCCTTCTTGATCAGATAAAGGTTGATCAGGAGATACTTCTGGAGCAGAAGCTGGCACTTAATGAGGAAGCACAACATGGACTGCTGCAGGTTAATGGTTTCCTGCAAGAGGATCTTAAAGTGGATATTCCAACAGGTATTTAAAGTAGGTTGGGGACAGAATGGTCTCACAGCAAGCTATTTGAGTTGCAGAATTAATTCATAAGTGAAGGTTAATGGGGACATAATATAACAAGCAGCCTTACACCTTTTTTAAGGTGCATGCTAAGAATGATGACTGAACAAAGCATGATTTCTGTATTTAGTTAATGTAAAATCGAGGATCTGTAATTAAAGCAAATGCTGAAAGTGTTTAATAGTGCCTTTCATTAGTGTACAATCTTCATTAAAGGGACAACTCCACAGAGAAGAGACTACTACTATCCAGTCACACTTGTGAGAACAGAACCCCGAGAACTTCTTCTAGAGCAATTAAGGCAAAATCAATCAAAGCTTGATGCTATGCTAAACAGCGTGACAAAGGAGGCAGAGGATAATGCTGATCAGGTAGGTGTGTGAGTGGCAAATGAGGCTCTCCAATGAAGATTTCACATCTTTAGGAGCTTTTTCATGTCATTGTGGAGAGTGTACTAGAACCCCAGTGTTGTTGCAGCCTTTGTATTTTACAGGGTACTGGGAGTTAAGTGTACTGAGCCTTTGACAAAACCAATACCTTGAAAAATAAGAGAAGATATTAATAATTTAGAAACTTTCATTTCTGTTTTTCAAAAATGCAAGTGCTGTGACTTTTATAGATCTGATCGTGCTTAGTACATTCACCTAGGAAATTCAGACATTAAATACATTTTTCTGAAAACTTCTCTTTTAGGACCTGTTGGAAGAGGAGGAAGGGTTTGAAGAATCCAATGAAAGCCTTGCTAGTGACAAATCCTTAGTGGATGCAAACATATGCTGCCATGCAAGTGGCGGCATTCCCTTTTTTCAGGTAACTTCCACAGATACTCTAAACAGCTGTGTATTTAAGAGTGAAGGAAAATTTATTGTTCCGTAATAGTGCTGTAGTCTAAAGTCCCTTACTATATTACTAGACTGTGTAGTCTCACAACTTCTTTAAATGCTGTAGAATATGCTTTGTAAACTTGAGCTAAAATAACAGCAGATTCTGATAACAGTTAACAGCAGATAAAATTATGCAAATTTCTGTCAAGCTGGACAGACAGTAGAAAACTCCTCAGCAAATAATCCTGCATAAAAGTCATAATTTGCTAGACATAAATACATGTGTTTTAATGGAAAAGTTGAAATTAGATGTGGAATATTTTCTTAGAGGCTAGACAGAAATGTTAACATTCTTGATTCTTCACTGATTTTTTTTTTTTCTTTCCTCCTTCGTTTTGACCCTCTTGCTCTACCAATGTATCAGTGTAAATCCCTGGTATATTAGGGTTGGGTTTGGCTTGGAGGGGTGGAGGGGGAGTGTATTTACTTGCCATGGATTCCTTAAAAGTAGCTGTTGAACTTCCAGATATCTACAATAAATCTCTTTAGTAAATGCAATGTTAGGAACCTTTTTCAGGAGTTCTAGCAACTTTTTTTTTCTCAGAACACTGTATACTGCATTGTACATGAATCTTTAATTTCTTTGTATTCTCTTAACATTGGGTATTTTCTTTAAATCCCAGCACAAAAGGAGTCACAAAAAGGATAAAGAGAACAAAACTGCAGCTACAGTGGAGAAGAACAAAATAGAGGATATGACAGAACAGTTTCTTCCCAAATCTAAGCCTCCTTTAAGATCACTGAACTAAGACACATCTACTGCAAATCCTTATTTTGAAATACTTATGTCCAATTGTCTACTGAGCCATAACTTTCATTGGTTATTCTCAGTCTTTGTATATAATGTATATTGATGCAAAGTTGGATCAAAAGATTGGCCTGCCAGGTGTCCTGACTCTGTCCCATTTTTATATGCTGTAGCTTGCAAAGTATTAACAGACTTTTTTTTAAAAAAAAAAAAAAACCAAAAAAAAAACCACAAAAAACCACAAACAAAACCCCCTGCAGATTATGGTGCTGTATGTTAAATAGATTTTTATGTTGTCAAATAAGAGATCCTTTTCTGTTTCTCAGAAGACTTTAAACAAAGCAGAAAGGGATGTGGAAAAATGCTTTGTCAGCATTACCAACTACCATTTTATTTTTTAATTAACTGTAAATAAGTTCTGGTTTTGTACCTGCTTTTTGGTCTGATTCCTGTTTCTATGAAGTAGATAACTCTCTTTTGACTGGGAATCTTCAAATAAATCATTGATTACATGGAAAAAAAAAAGTATAAGCCCCTCCCTCAGAGTAAAACATGCTTATGTGACTTTCTTTTATTACCAGGTTTAATTTAGCTAAAACATTAGCATCTATATCATAAGTCCCTCCCTTATTTCCTAGTAGACAATAGCTTTATTTCACTGCCTCTTCAGTATATGAACCACTTCTGGGGTTTGGGTTGTTTTGTTTTTTTTTTTTCGTTTGTTTTGAACCACACTGTTGTTATCTTCCTCTTAACCTGCAGCTGTGATGTGTTGGCTTGGATGTGATGTTGTCAGCCACAGCTTACGTATTGTAAACTAGCAGCATTTCTTTTAGTATGTAGATACTTAACATTAAAACATGCAAACCTGGTTACAAATGCAGCTCCTATGTTGTATAATGACAGTGAATTTCCAGTAATTGACAGTAGTATTTGACCAGCTGTTTGTTTCATGCTGCTTACCTGAAAACTTGATGTGCTAAAAAAGCAGATGAATAGGATTATGACAGGAGTGGGGAGAGACTGGAAGGCAACCTTAACTTACATTGAAGCACTATTCTTAGCTAATTGCCAAAGCATGATTTAAGAGTTTGTTCATTTTTCTATATCTAGTTTGCAGGCTTAAGTTGATCTTTCTTCAAGTGTCTGGTCCATATGTCTGTTTGTCTTTGAGCAAGTATGCCAACTAGATACACTTTGGACACCATTCAGACAGCACATTGCAGTCCTGCCGATAGAGACAGAAAGACATAATTTGAAGTGTGCCCTTGCACTGATTCTCTGAACTTTATCATGATATAGACCATTAATCAGTTCTGTTTGTCTGAAACATCTATCTTGCCTCATATTTATCTTCTCTCTTTTGCTTTTGTGGGCAAAGCTAATTGCTTTTTCTTAACAGCCTGATAGGAGGAGGGAAAGCGTTAATTCCCTTTTAAATGAATGAGACACAAATAATGGATTTTCTTTTATTATTATTTTATGGTATCTTGGTACCTAGCTTATACTAAATCTTTCTATTATTGTAAGGGACTTGAAACACCGGAAGCTGCAGGACTCTCTCCTTTAGAAAGTGTTTGGCGTATTGTCAAATTCTGGCACCAGAAACTTAATGAACTTAAGAATTCTCCAGGTCCTAGGATCCATTTTCTTGCACCATGTTCCTGTTAACCCTGACTAGATATTAGCGTGCTCTTCCAAGACAGTTCAAGAAGTCACTTAGGAACTAATATTCAACCAGAACAGTTGATCCCACAGTTGTATTGGAATGGCCCAAGCCAAATGGGAGAGGCTTGTGCAAGCCATTCACCATACTACTTAATTTTCCCTAGGGAGTTCACAGGATCAGTATGAGCAAATAAGCTGGAACAGCCAGTACCTGAGGAGGCTTGCATCCATAAAATCGTGCCAGAATCAGTGCTTCCTGGCTTTATCCTCTTTGAAACTGTCTCCTCTACCTTAGCTATTAGGTTTCCCCTGGTACAGGCACAGGCTGCTTTCGTGATAACTGGGGGCCTTAACAGCTGTATGAATGTCATGGACTGCTTGCATACTTTCTCTTTTTCTAAAGTACCCCTCAGAATCATGTTTTCTTTTGTTTGCAATAGTGGCATGGGAGATCATTGTTTCACTGGACCTGGTGTCTGGAGGTCACACCACAAACCTGAATAGGATGGAAAATCCAAATAGCAGAACCTGTCCTGGCTTCTCTGTCCATGTCTCTTCTCCCACTAGATGGCTCTAACACTAAAGTGTTAGTCCAAAGCTCCAGTACCGGCCACTAACCGGGACTTGGAAAGAAGCATTTTGCCAAGCTTTTTGTCAAGCATCTGTTAAAATAACAGGTTTCAGAAAATAATATTGAATTTATGCTTTATGCTTCCATGAGGATAATTCTATATTCAAGCTTGGACAAAGGGTTATTTTATGAAGAGCTGCATTTGAGAAAAAGATGATCCAACCTATGTCTTGAGCTTTGCCACAGGGCTCATAGGCACTCTCAGTAAATAAATTCTTGTCCTGACCTGCTGTCTGGATTCCCCACCACATGGGCATTGCCCAAAATAGAAAGCAATGCCTATTTGTTTTGGTATATTGTACAATGTGTGGTAGAAAGAGAAAAGGGAGGGTAAGAAAAATAAAGCAAGTCATAAGTTTATGTGTGGTCACTGGATTCACAGGCCTAACCCAGAGTGAAGAAATGGCATTGTGGTTTGAATTTGTCTCGTTATAAGGCATCTTTTATAAGAAGAGTAGGAAGCCATTTCTACAGAATAAATAGCAAGGTCATATCCTGACTGAATTAGTCCAGCTGAGCACGAGGGAGAGAGAGTTGTGGTGACTGGGGCTGTAGTACAAGGCCGTGTTCTAATTAACCTGATGAGCTTTTTCAGATTATGGATTAGTGGCCAGTGGGACAACTCTTGATTTAACGAAAAACACAAGTAGGATTAATACGATGTGGGGAAACAAGATGAGGAAAACGTGAGGTTAAAATGCATGTAAAGGGGGAATGCAGAGAGCGGTAAGGAGGCCAGGGGAAGCACAGACAATCAGAGCCACCAGCTCGCTTTTCAAGTGAAAAATGAGCAGTTAGGAGGATAAAGGAGGAAAGGAAACTTCCTGCTTCCTCCTGGAAACGGGAGCTGTGGCACTTGCTGCCTCAGAGTTGCTGGGGGATGCAGTGTTTATTTGAAGACAGGAAAGAAGACTAAACTGACTGGCTGCTATTGATGGCTGGTTTTATTTTGGGTATCGGAAGTAATTGTGTGGGGCTAGAGAGGAGTGAGGAGAAGGTGCATAGTTGCTAGACTCTGCCTTTCTTTTTTCTGTTAGGTGTCAGTCACCATTGCAATCATCTGGTAAATGGGCAAACAAGAGGAAGCCTGTAACTCTTCGGGGTGATAAAAGAAAAAAAAAAGCTAGAAGGAACTGGAAAAATAAAATTAAAGTTTAACATTCCTTTTCCATCAAAAAGAGATTGAAGGGAAAAAAGAAAGAGTTCTAATGCTCCAGAGCATTAAAAACATGAAAAAATAAATAAATTTTGAAATATATAGTTGGTAAACATGTACTTTTTAAACAAGTGTTTATGGCCATTTGACTGCTATTTTTTTCTTTCCCTGTTAGAAACTACTTTTTATGGTAGAGGGCAATGTTCTATAAACTGTACGCCCACCCACACAGTTACTTTATAAAGTTAAGTAACAATAAATCATGCTAGGCTTTGCATTAGTAGTGCTTTATGTGCCACGGTACTATAGGTGAGATGTAGACCACCTAGCAAAGTCAGCCGTTCTTGTAGGATCTTGAAAACATTAAAAGTATGAACATAGCGCAGGGAAGCGAATGTTTAAATCCCTATATTCAGAATACTTCTAAAATTACCTTTGGTTCCCTAGTAAAGGGTCTAGCTACCAAAAGGAGGGCACGCTGGAACTACACAAGTGCTCTTCAGGCAGTTAAGAAGGAGCAAATGCTTGGTCCAGCAGTCTCTCGGCAAAGAAGTTAGAAACAAGCTGCCATTTTTATGCAATGCCTGAAAAATGTTCCATATTTCTACATTTCTAAAACTTTAAGACGACTGTCAGTTTTTAGGTGCCACAAACTTAGATTTTGTAAAATTACTGAGATAACTGGATGATTTCCCTTCTCTCTAAAATATTAAACCTATATAAATGTATGTTTGACTTCCGTAGTTATACTTGAAATCCTTTTGTGACTCTTAGTCAGTTCATAACTTAAACATGGTAATTCAAAGAATAAGGCACAATGACTAAAACTTTGAACTTGACTAGTGCATTTTCTTTATTAAAAATGTAAGAATAAAATAAACAGAAATATGACATAAAAGTACATGAGATTTTTTCACATCTTTCCAGATGTGATCATCTACAGTTGTTAACATATATATAGTTTTGACTATAATTTTATTCTGACAATGTCCAGAGCACTAAAGCTACTATGTGAAGATGTTTTTCATGTGATAAGGAATTGTATTTTCATTGGCAGAAGCTAATTTTTAAAAAATACCTTTTTTGTCTAATTAGCACAGAAGTTTTACAAAGTGAAAAATAGCAATTAGCAGAAAAGAAAATATGCTCTTTCAGCATTTATGACAAATATTAAACAAAACAGATTAAATACATGGTAAAATACTTCTCCTCCCCAGCCATTCGAGTAATAATAATGAATGTTGCTTCTCAGAGGACCGATTTCCCCAATGCACAAGTCCAGTCATACATCAGTCTAATTCTGCTATAGTCACTTGATTTATACTAAAGTAATAAGGGGAAGGATCAGATTCTCATTTTTTCTGATTACATACTGAGTTGATAAGGATGCTTAAAACCACAGGAAAATCTAAGGCCCTGTTTGGTCTCTCTGGCCAATAGACTTTATGGCATTCAGAAGGGTTTGCCTAGGCAAGCCTAGAAATTGTTTTCATCCCTAGTTATGTTTTTTCACAGGTGCTTCAAGCATACCTACTGCCCCTACTTT